AGGTACGAGGTGAGAGTGCCCATACCAGAAAAGGCAGCGAACTCTTCTCCGGCGCACTTGCCAGCGTTGGGCAACCACTGGAAGTAGGTGGACGTGAAGTAAGTGTACGAGGCAAAGTAGACGAATCCTGCACACACGAATTAGTTCCCCTATTTTCTTTCACAGGTCTCAACCAAGTGTATAACATACCAAGGTCAATGATGAACTGGATGATCTGGAGACGGGTGATCCACTCCTTCCACCAGATTCGGATTCCGCGGGCGCTCTGGAAGTAGTACCAGTACATAACCACGTGGACAGTCAAGTTCAGGGAGATGACAACCCAAGAGACCGCGGTGGAACCGAGGAGCTGAGTGTAGCAGAGGAAAGCCGTAGCACCATGGTGATAGCAGTGGAGGAAAGCTATTGTCAATGGTTAGAATATCTGGCTTCGATCAGTCCATGAAGATGTGCTTACTCAACGGCTTCTTCTTCAAAAACAGGAAGACGGTGTCCAAAAGTTCCAGATACTTGGTGAGGTAGTTCAACTAGGTACTATGTGTTAGCTCCTCTCTTCCACGCGAATAGGGGCTGCGGGGGGCGGCGGCGTAAGCTTACGTAGTAGAGCACAACCAATGGTTGAGTCCAGCCTCCCTCCTTGTCGCAGATGGAATAGAAGATGCCATGGCGAACGACAGTTGGCAATAGCTGTTCAATGAACAGCACCAGGAGTATACCGCTGATAGCGGTAAGGTAGAAGTTGTGGATGAGGAAGAGCGTCTTCAATTTGAAGGGTTCTCTGCCTCGCATGTACGCCCTTCCACCGAATATAATAGCGTAGTAAACGACGATGAAGACCAAAGTTTCTTTCAATGTTGACATAGGTGTCTCGCCGGCCACGAACCGAAAGTCGTCGGCGGAATAGCCGACTACGGCTTCGAAAGCCTTACTAAAGTAGGGCCATAACGGTACGCCGAAAGGTCGATCGAGGGTTGGGATAGGAATAGAATCCCAGAGAGCAGCAGGAGCCGGAGTAGCCATTGCGAACAATGGTTTTACTCTCGATGTAAGGAGAGGTCCGTAATACAGGAGGCGCAAAAGTTTGCGCTCGGAGATGGGGGAAAGGACTCGCAAGTCTGACCGCGACGCGAGTGGCACGGATTTAAGAGGAAACGGTTACTTGAAGGAGTGACACGAAGAGAGAGGTATTATAAAAGTCCCAGCGATTGAACTCGCTCGGTGACTTTTTGTGTGTAAAAAATATGGTAGAAGGGGGTGAAAAAAAGGGAAGAAAAAGAGAAAAAGTTGGTGGAATTGTGAAAATCACGATTGACGAAATCTCGTGAAGATGAAAAAAAGTTGAGAGGACGGGCTTTTGGTTCTGCTTCATTAAACTCCACGCCAACAAAAGGAGACACGACTTGCACCTTATCCCATTGGATAATTGGGGTATGTCTCACAAGGATTAGCATCCCCTGTCTGCCCTGTATTCCCCTGTATTTCTGGTCACCGATCGGAATTGGCGGGACTCTCGCGCAGCCGGTTTTTTCTTCTCTACCTCATAGTACAGGGCTCTTATTAAGGTCCAATCCCCAATAGCACGTGCCTTATTATCGAGTAGGTACCCTTACAATGCATTGTCCATACAAACAGTACATGCGCGATACCTACTCCGCACCACCGTCCGACCTGCATGTGTCAACAGAGTGGTAATAATAAAAGTAAAATTATCCGTAGGAATTATTTATTTCCAATAGAAGCCCGTCGATTTTCTTTTCTCTCCTGTCTCAGTCTCCCGTAGCAGTGGTGTACACAAAGAAGCAAGATATATTGTGTTAGGTACCTACCTATTGAATGTATGGACAGATTAAAGATCTCGGAAACATCCATTGGCATCTGGCTTTGGCTAGCTACATACATATCTTATCATTGCTTTGCTTGTGCAACGCACTTTTCGATGGGGAACTTTAAAAAAAAGAGAGATAATCGAGGATAGCTCGACCTCGGCCAATCTCAAAATATGGACCCCTTTTCTTGAGGCCAACAAACAATCATCTTATTAGATGCGAGTTCTAGCCCCTCTAGAATACTACGTGAGACCCTTCGAATTCTTTGTGTATGCAAAGGACAATACACACATATTGTTCTGGCTTGTGACATTTGACACCTACGAGCCTCACTTGAGGCTGAAATCACATGCCTTCTTGGCTGTGCTGAATGTAGCTGACGAGTACGCAACCTTTGACTAAAAGAGGGGTGAAACTGAATCTTGAAACCTTGTTCAAAGATGTAGTTTCGAGTGCAGTCTAGAGTTATAGCAATCTGGTTTTGGATACGCAGAGACTGCATTTACAGCAAAGAAAAGGGGTAATACATTCAAGATATTTTTACCCCAATGTGGACAAACTTGACATGGTTACCATGTCTAACTTGGCGAAGATTTCTACTATGTAATTCAGCCTTGTTCTTTCTGCAGCGACATTCGCTTTCCTATACCGAGGTAGTCTCCCTTACTATACGCCTAATCCTAGGTGAAGAAAAGAGAAATAATAATCTGGTTTCCCCACAAACCGTCGGTTTCTAGTCAAACTGCATTCATAGCAACGCTAGACATATAGGGAACGTGTCACCCAGAAACCAGATCTCACGTCCTTGGCAGTGTCTTCAAACATTCGAATAGAGCGTCGAACTGCTTTAGCATGGTCGGCATACTTGGCAACGTCTCCCATTAGTCCAGGTATATTAAACCTGTTGTTGATATCTACACAATCAAGTCTCTCCACACGAGATGAATGAATACTTTGTCTACTTTGTACTAATGCAAGCTTATTCTCTCGCACGAATAAGACAAATGAGTTGCGAGTTATCTCCCCTCTACAGTTAATGGCAATAGCACGATTGAATCCTTCCGCAAATGCGCATTCTCGGGTGATCCCGATAGCCTAGCAACGAAGTCTTGTCGAAGTTGGGAATTTTCACCTCTTGCGAGGCTCCTATTTTTACTCCTGTCTTGCTATAGATATAGTCTCGTCGTGCATCAAACATGTGTGCTACTGTAAGGTATTGAATTTGCGACATTTGGATATTTGAAAAGGAGGTGCCTGCCTTGTAGGAAATAAATGACGTCGAAAGTCAATTCACCGCGCGAGTCAAGCAAAAAGAGGAGAGGAAAGCTTTCCCCACGCTCGGACCACATCGTTAACAGCTAAACCCGTTTAGAAGGGAAAGTGAGCTCACGTCCACCTGGCCGACCGCCGACGGACCAATCAAGAGAATGGTTTTTGTGAGCCGACCTTCCATTTCTCCCTCATCATTCGATGTAAGAATTTACTGAACTGGAGAACCGAGTTAACGGGCCACCAAATCAAAGTTAACGGGCCAAACAACCACAACTTTTTTGTGTCTCTTTTCTTATTTTTCCAACTTACTAAGTAGAAGCTCTCGTCTTATCTTCCCAACTTCGACGACATCACCTCAAATCGCCGCAACCAACATACCCAAAAACAAAAAACCTCTCCGCTCCCTTTTTATTGATTTTTTCTTTTATTCGTTAATACCATGTCGCTCCTCAGAATTGCCTCCCGCAGCGGGTCCGCAGCAGCATCCAAGTCCTTCTTCCGCGCAAACCGACCCGTCGCTCCCACCCGATCCAGTGCCTCCTTCGTCCCGGGCTTCGTCGCCGGCTCCAGCCTCAACTTCAGCACTACCGCGCCCCGAAAAGCCGCCGCGCATCACGAGGAGACCTTTGAGGAGTTTACCGCTAGGTAAGGGAAGCTATTTTTATCTCCGAGAATTGAGAAGATGGGGGCCCGATAAAGAGTGCACGACATATTGAAGCTATGGGAGAGAGCGATTAATGTCAATGGAGATGTTTTGTTTTGTCCGAGGAGGTGTGAAGCGCTTAATTGGGCTGAGGTTGGGATTGCAAGAGCTGGAGAGCTTCAATATCGCTCAATCAAACGTCGGGAAATTACGGAAGCTTGGATACGCCTGGATATCGCTCAATTGGCTTCAAGATGGTTATGATATGTGGAAAATCAGATACTAACTGGTCATTTAGGTATGAGAGCGAATTTGAAAAGGTGCAGGATGTTTTCGAGCTCCAGGTTCGTGAACCTCTTTTCTGATTCCGCCCCCAAACTCCCAAGATGCCTGAAGACGACCCACTCTCTCTCCTCACGCTATCATCACCATCATCTCCCATACGACATCCGAAGTAGTATGGAAACTAATATGAAATGCAGCGCAATCTAAACAACGCCTTCGCCTACGACCTGGTGCCCTCTCCCTCCGTCGTCGAGGCCGCTCTACGCGCCGCCCGGAGAGTGAACGACTTCCCCACCGCCGTGCGCATCTTCGAGGGCATCAAGGCCAAGGTCGAGAACAAGAACCAGTACCAGCAGTACCTCGACGAGCTAAAGACTCTGCGCGAGGAGATGGGCATCGTACTCAAGGAGGACCTGTACCCGGAAGAGGCCAAATAGGAGTAAAATCATTTAAGGGGCAGCCACCGAGGCAACACGAAGAGAGGCGTGTATAAGTCGTCGCGGAGAGGACGAAGAGGAGAGAAGAAGGGCTGCCTGTCCAGTGCCTTAGAAGTTCCCGCCGCATGTGTATATGTCTACTACCTTTATCACCACAACAAACAATACCAAATTCGATCCCAAATCCAGAAAGAGAGGCCAAGAACAAAAGGGGAGCATTAGAAGACGACCGGAGCATCATCGCCGGGGATAGAGGCGAGAGAGGTATCTGATTCTGTAATCTGGTGTCCGTGTAAAGCATACATCCACTCATCTTACCCCCTAAATCAGACTCCAACTCAGATCTTCCCACTTCGTGACGCTTTTGGTTTCCCTGTCCCTCGTTCCTACGCCCGGGGAAAATATGCACGTGAATGGAACCGTTTCTTGGTGAATTATCTACTTAGCTTGAATTCGTCAAGATCCTAAACGGTGTTTGCTGACTTAGATTCGGGCAGTGTCTTGAAGATTTATGGTCCAAGGAAAAAAAAGAATGACTGGCCTGTGCGGGATTCGAACCCGCGACATATTCCACTTCCCAACACGCCTTCTCTTCTCCGAAGCGCGTGTTGGTGGAAACTGTGGTGACACCCTTGCACCGCCGGGCCCAAGATGGAACATACCCTGGATAACCACTGCTGAGCTTTTGGTACTGGGACTCATAGCTACCATCCATCCATCAAACTTGCGGGCAGATCAGCCGTGATATCTCTCGACAGCAAGCAGGCAAGCAAGCAAACAAGCAAATACATGTAGAGCCATGTTCTCGGAGATAAATCCTGGGCTGGGATACCTTTTGCTCAGCCCCTTACTTTTCGTATCGAGCACCTAATAGTATCTTGGGTATGTAGTTGCCTAGTTACTGCTGCTGGTGGATGGATGGATGGCTGCAATAACGGCAGAGCGAAGAGACTATTTGTAATCATTGCTTAGGTACCAGGCATACTGAATAAGCCCCAAACATGCCCGACGGCAATCTATTAGATATGGTACATAGATGTATTACTAATGTCCAAGTCCATGACTGGAAAATAATTTTCACACTCTGCTAATACAGGTACTACCCTATGATGGAAGCAAGTACGTTACGATATCACGATGGATATCGTGGAACGCGAAAAGAGGCTGAAAGTGCTTGATTTTCCGTAATCACAGCAGGAATGACTGAGCCATCTCTAAGCAGGAAGCCGTGGATGCTATGGGGTCCACGTGACCCCTAGAGGAAGGCATCTTCCTGCAACAAAGTATAATATAGGTATAAAACATAAAATTAGAACGAAGACGACGTCGAGTTATGGTCAGGCTTCTAAACCGTCTTCGTCTTCGATGCCGGCTAGGATGCCGCATTCCGCATTCCGCATTCGTTCACGACAGACTGAGCACGGAGAATGGACTTTCACGATGCTTAGTTGTTTCTGCTGGAGGGGGTAGTAGAATGACCAAGACTTCGTTGAAGTCTACTTATCTTCATTCTGTTTATTCTTCTACAAAGAAGGCGAAAAGGAAAATGACGACAACGAAGAGAACAACGAAGAGAATGACGACGAAAACGACGGGGAGTGCATTTTATTCACTTAGGCACCTATCTAGGTATGTGCAACAAAGCACGATGCCGTTACGGACTGTATTACTTAGCAAATGTACACGAGCCACCACTTCCTGCCTTCTCCTTCACCCCTTGCAGGGCCTTACTCAGGAAATCATCGTATCCTTCGCACTCACTAAAAAAAAGAGACGGAAGCGATCCGTCCCAATGCCATCTGGAAAAACAACGCAATGCATGTGTGTCCTTGGGGATTAGTAGACTGACCAGTGTCATGCTGTGAGGGCCATTGATGTCGATTGGCGGAAGCTCTTGGGCTTTGATGTTCGGGTGGTCCGGGTTGGCACCCATCGCCATGCATAGAGCCTTACCTCCGCCATCGAACAAAAGGGATGAAAAATAAAGAAAGGAAGAAAACCAAGTATCGCGTCCTATTTCTCTGTATACTCGAAGAGGGTGGTGGCAATGAGGAGTGATGAGGTCGTATATGCCGTCACCTGTAAAGCGACTAGATTCTATAGTTTCTGCGGTGTACGATGGGATTTTGGGTAGCGAGATGATGCAACTAATGATGAGAATCATGGATTCGTCTTTACCATGAGCGCATATGCTACGGGCAACCTGTGAGGCGTAAAAGACACTGCTGCTGCTCTCGCGGAAAAGGTGCAATGGAGAGTTGCGCAGTCGAGAAACGTCCTCTCGGGAGTGTCCATGGGAATCTATTGAGGAAGCAATGGTTTATCTGCTGAAATCATGGTAAGGGGTATATATATCGGGAATCGTTGCTCATGATCTTGCGAAAACGCCAGGCAGCAAAAGTTGGTCAGACTCGAGAAAAAGTGCCTGGCATGACCTTATGTGCTCATGCTGCTATTCGCATAGCAACCGTAGTGGGTGGAAAATGGGTGCCAATCATATAGGCTTATCCCAATCGTGACTCCTTCAGGTGCGAGTGTCGGTTTGGCGTAGCACTGCCAGTCTCGAACACCCCGGACGGAGGCGGGGCAGGGCTGGTACCCCGGCTGCTCGATCCGCCGGTGCGACGGCCGCCATTTCGAGGGCTAGATATGCCGAGTCGGGGGCTTCGAGGAGGTACACTGTTCTGCCTCGTAGGTCTGCGACCTTCCTTCAGTGATCGATTTTCTTCTGTAAGTCGGCTGAGTTCGGTCTTTATCTCGTGCGTAAGGCTCCTCTGTTGGTCGAGCAACTTTTGAAGCGCCTTGGCTTCTCCCTTAACTTGGATGCCGTTGACCTTGACGATGTTATCGTCGGCCTTGCGGCTAAGCTCCTCGACCTGACGTTCCAGCGCACGATTCTCTTCTTGACGCTCCGCAGCCGCCCTAGAAGCGCTTTGGTATGCGTCCTTAGTGTAGTCCATATCCTTCTCGGCAGATGCACGTCTCTTTTCAAGGTACTGGATCTTGCTCTTTGCCTCTTCGAGTTCCTTCTCCAACCGCACTAGATTGACGACTGCTGGGTTTGAAGAATCGAGGAGGAATCCCTTTGCTTCTGACAACTTCCTCTGGAGATCATTGTTCTTCTCCTTAAGCGCGGCATTGTCTTCCCTGCTAGAGTCAAGATCAAGCCTCAAAGTCTCCACCTCCTTCTTCATCTTATCGTACTTTGCTTCGTACGTCCCTTGGTCTTTTAGAGAGGACATGTACTGTACACGAAAGCGTTCGACTGTCTCCGCGAAGCTATCTCGTTCCTTGTTATTGCGGTCGCTCAGCTCGCGATATTCATCCGCTTGCTTTCGGCTGGCCACCAGTTTGGCCTCCATAGTTATAATCTATGCCGTATTAGTACAAGACTTATCAAGATACCCCAATACAGAAGTACGACTCACCTTAGATGCTAGCGCCTCTAATTTGTCAATCGAAACCGAAAGAGTTGCTTTGGAAGGATCACACATATCGTCTCCAATGAGCTTGTTCAAAGAGTCACTGATGTGACTCACACTGCTCACAATCGTCGGCTGTGATATTACACGTGAGATCCTAGGGCGTTTGGACGATGTCTCATCATCATCGGTCTATTACTTAGATTAGTATTTTCCCAAGTTACTATGATAGCAAGCTGACTTACGTCGTGGGACCTCTTCCGACTGTCCGGGGGCTGGTTGGTTCCGAGGCCTGCAAGGCTAGGCTCTGGCATTGCCTGTGAACTTGCGACGTGTAAATCCTCGAACACGTCTTCGGGTACCTTTAGGGGCTCCCAATCGAAGTCATCGTCATCCGGCCATTTAGTAATATGCTCGGCGAAGATTTGGGCAACCTTGGGTATGCCAATAGATGTCTTAGCATCACAGTTCTCTATGTATGGCATGGTTTTGGCCGATGCGAGTACGAGAACATTCTTGCGTTCCAACGGGTCCATTTGGTCCGAGACCCGCATGTTCAGATGCTGGATAGAGCACAAGCTAGTTAAGACCATCAACAGAGGGGAACGTTCCCAAACGGATGCCGGAAGCAATTCTCGACGATATGTGTGGTCGAATGCTATGACTACGTCGACATCTTCTGGAATGGACGAGGCATCGGCTTCCGTCGACGAGACAGCGACTGTTAGAGGATGCTCCTTAGAGGGCCTAGTGATTGTAGAGCCACATCGGATATATCCGTGTCCACTTGCTTGTACGACGTGACCTAGGAAATCTATCAGCTGTCCAGGACGGGCAAGGATGAGGATGACTTTATCCGATTCCGCCTCAGCTAACGAAGAAAGTAGTTCGGTCACGAAGGCAAACTTGGCGTTGGTATTAGCGAGATATTTTGCCAATTGAATATCTGTCATGGATGGAATGGTCTCCATGAAGAGTGGTAGATCACAAATATCGAAGAGACGAGAGAACATTTCGTCAATCTTCGACACTAGCGTAGGGTGCGGTTGTTCGTAAGGGGACACCAGGAATGAAGCATTGTACGCCTTCATCAACTCTTCGTTTTCGAGAAGGATATCGATGTACATAGGTCGCATGATGTTGTTGATTGGAAGGGTTATGAGATACTCGTTACGTCCGGTCGGAACATCCGGGAGCAGACTCTTCGGGTAATTGTGAGGAGTCTCGTCCTCCTCGTGTGGCCCGAACTCATCCTCCGCAGACAGGCTCGGGGCAATTGCATCGTAGCTGATTGCCTCCATGTCATGCTCAATAGACAACGACAAAGTAGACGGATCTAGGGTCGCGGGCTGCTCCTCATGTGGAACACTGTACTCAACGGCAGATCCACTCTCTTCTAATGCCGACTCGATCTGCGGGTCTTCTTTGGCAGATTCTTGTGTGGTCTCGGGGACTAGGGATTGCTGCTCATTAGAAGGCTCATTAGAAGGCTCATTAAAAGGCGTCTCGCCTTGAGCCGTTCCCACAGATTGGGTTAGGAAGGCTGGAGACACAGTGGAAGTCGGAGTGATAGGGCTGATATTTGGAGGAGAAATTTCCATGGCCTGTGCTCCCTGGCCGTCAGCATCAGACACTGTTCGAGATTCACCTTGGGCGCCATTCTGATTCGTATTTACTGAGTTAATTGGAAGCTCAGTTAGATCTGCACCCAAGTTTTTCTCTCTTATCGCTCTCAGCCTGTCACGTGCTGACCTGACCGTGGGTTGCGTGCCATCCATGTTCTCAGCCGCGGCTTGCTGCCGTGGTGTGGATCGTTGATCTTTGTATTGGCCTGAAGTAGGTGATTCCTGTGCCTTGAGACTACTAGAAGCTTTGTTGGATTGGCTTTGTAGTTGCCCTTCAGGCCTCGACGAAAATGATCCAGACACGTGATCTTTCGAAAACGACGCACTCCTGGTATTGGCGTCTAATTCATTCAGAGCTTGACTGGAAGCCAGGGAATTGTGCTGAATGTGGGGGTCTTCTGACTGAAAGGTATCAGGCACAATTGAATCGTCGTCATAAACCGTGAACCTGCCCTGGTCTTGGGTTATGAGTTCGACGTGGTGGTTGCTGAAAGGAATCACAATCTGAGCTGCTTGGGAATTGCTCAGCTGTGATTCTGTCCTATTGTTATTCGTAGATAGCTGAGATTGGCTCGCACTTGTCAATTGTGATATTTCCTG